TGTACGTAAACAAGGTTTGGACCTTGGTCAACCCGCTTGATGGGGTAAAACTTATAGGCTGTAAATAAATTTACAAGAAAGAGGTCAACATTGATGAAAACATCCATACATACAAAATAAGGCTAGTAACAAAAGGATTACAAACAAAGATAGAGTTGACTTTGATGAAACCTTTTAAACTATAGCCATACTTAAGTTCATTCGAATTTTACTTGCAATAGCTACATATCATGACTATGAGTTATGTCAAATAGATGTTAAAACTATATTCTTTAATAGGAACTTGCAAGAGGAAGTGATCATGACACAACTTTAAGGTTTTGAATGCAAGCTTGATCAATACATATATGGATTGAAGTAAGCTTCTTGGAGCTGAAATCTTCGCTTTGATGAAGAAGTCAAAATGTTTGATTTTACCAAAAGCGAAGACACCAGGTGTTTACAAGAAGACAATATGAGCGTTGTCATATTCCTGATATTGTATGTAGATTGCATATTATTAATAGGAAACGATATCCTTATATTTCAATTGTTGAAATTGTGGTTGTCAAAGAAGTTCACAATTAAAGATATGGGAAAAGCAACTTAATTTATAGAGATAGCTTGACCTAAGATTTTATGTGGAGAAAATGAACTGAGAGTTCATTAATACACTAATGCTAACTTTCCGTTGGATTAGGATGATAACAAATCTCAGTCACAAAATAATCACCGATTCAATAATAAAAGTTTAATAATGGATTAGTTAGTTAAAAAGGCTCCAAACATGAAATAATCACAGATTCAATAATAAGAGCCTAATACATCATTGCTTCAGAAGCAACAAAGGTTGGGTCTGATCAAGAAGTTCATCAATGAATTGGGAGTAGTTCCTAACATTTTTTATCACATACCTCTATATTGTGATAAAAATAGAGTCATCGCGCGAACAAAGGAACTAAGGTCTCATCAATAATCCGACCATGTGTTAACTCATTAGAATGATCATACAAAGAAATGATATAAAGAAAGAACGAGTTCTTACAATTGATAAAATTGCAAATTCATTGACAAAGAGTTATCGCAACATAAATATGATTGTCATGTAAACTCTTATAATATTAGATACATAAGTGATTGGATTTAGTGAAAGTGTTATGCCTTGAGTCCAATTGATTTATGTTGTAAATACTTTTAATATGATTAATGCAATCTTCATTTATGGCAAGATCTATTATATAATTGCATTGTTATTCTAATGAATTATATTAATAGAGTCCGTAAATTTAAGTTCCAGTAAGTTATTAATCACAAGGAGTTGCGATTGTGATAAACAAATTACATACGATTGAATCTTAAATTATCCGTGGTCGTAAGTAATAATGAGATACGGATACAGTTATTGAAGTTAAACCAGCACTTGTTGTATTTCTCACTTGTGAAGTGAGTAGATCTCATAATATAAAATGTAGTGACATTTAAATAAATACGTGAATATGTTGTTAGAAGAAAAAAACTTTGGAGACATATTGAAAGATTCCATATGGATAACTATTTGAGTGTCGTTGTTAATCTTTAGTGTTCGGTAATGAAATTGGTCATTCGACTTGAAGTAATCATAGTGCCTTATATGAAGACAATCATACTTTGATGATATTGAATATTGCTCTGTCAAGAGTCGCTAATACGAAATCGTCCGGGAATGTCAATAATCATATGAAGATTGTGAATGATTAATATATTATTCGTTACTTTTACGTAGTAAAAGATTATGATCTATATTTTATTCAATTTAATTAATAGCGAAATCCTTGGCCAATGTATACTCACAAGTCGAAAGGAGTTTCTGACTTGTACTAACTTAATAGTAGGATGAAATATATGATCAATAATCGAGATTGACACACTTCATATCTTGTAATTGACCGAATCATATTGATAAAATGATTATAGTTTCACGGTAAAACGAACAAGATTGATTTTGTCATATCACGTGACATTTCTCATCATATGTATTACCCGACACATTACTAGATGTCAATATGGGATAACGAATGTAAATTAAATAATCTAGGTGAATTAATGATAAATTAAAAAGCTGTTTCAATTTATCTTATTTTGATTAGATAAAAATAATAATTCACGTCGTGGTATAATGATCGGGAACTTAAGAAAACTAGAAGAATGAAATATAATAATTAATTAATTGACAAGTGTTGGAAAATTAATTAATTGATTTGCATATTTATGGGCTAACTTCATTAATTGGAATAATTTTAAGGACCAAATTTAATTAATTAGATTAATTAAACACATAACCGAGTTGATTTTCAGTAGTGGGTCATGCTCTATTGAACTTCTATTAATTTGTTGTTATAACACAATTATTATTTTGCTAACACAAGAAAAGAGAAACCATAATTCTCTCATTCTTATTCATTGTATGAATTTTTATTGAAAGCTGAACTATTGGACAGCTGTGACTTGCAAATCAAAATTGTTCTTCACAGAATTAACTAAAAGTATAATTCTTATCACAATATCATTCTAAATACATAGCAATTCCTTGGTCAGAATTGAAATATTGTTTAAGTTTTGCTCTATATGTTAAGTAAATTTCCAACAGTATAGTGGGTCGCAATTGTGGGAGAAAGTGTTTGAAGCTTCAAATTCTGCATTGAACATCCTTGCGATCGTAAAGCACGAAGTTCTCCCTTTGTTCATTTTGGTTCCTCAATTCCTTTTTTCATTCATCTCGGCTCTTAATTATTTGTACCATGGGTTCTTTATCTTTAAATTTTCATAATTTAATTCTCACTCTCCACAATTGATAGGTAGTTGAGTTGATGAAAGTTTCAAAAATTTTCAATTTAGTCCTCAGACTTTCTAAGTGATGGATTTAGCTTCCGAAACTTGTGATTCTCTTCTGATTACTCTATTAAGATTTCCAATTGCTCATATGCAATCCGGTTGATCATAGTTTTCTCCAAATTAACTCTAATTAATCTCCCAATTTTACTTTTTTCATGCCAACGGCATCCAATTCGGGTTTTTACCAATAATTAATATATTTACACTAAATTAGGTAGATGTCTTTTTAATTAATAATAAATAACAAAGTTTAGAAGCCCAGAATAAGTGTATAAAATACGCTTATCAGTGGGCGGTATAATACATCTAAAGCTGTACAAGTTTGTTTAATGTTCTTATTCGAAAGTAATGTGAATGGGAGCCCGTGCTAGCTTCTTCATCAAATAATTTGTATCTGGTTTCTTAAATATTTCATAATGATCGTTGGAGTATGTGTTTTACCATAGTGGTCACTAATGATTTTAACTTTAAACTAATTGACAATCGACTGGGAACGTATAACGATTATACGATGCTTTGAGGGTTGTGCACTCAGAATCTCAAAATTACTTTAGTTAGAAAGCAAGTGATAGTATATAAATTTTGAACGCAATGCCGCTCAAAATGTATTTTCAATTTACGTCGGAATTATGTCCAATATATGTGCAAGATATATGAAAATGAGCACAGTAACCATATTAATAATAACAGAAAAAATGCCCCTTCTGATTGATAGAAATTGATGGAAGAGAAATATACGTTATCAAATAGGCTTTTGAAAAAGTGATAGCGATTTTTCGCAGGCAGACCATCGACTACCAATTGGAGAGACAATAATAGGGTTTCTGTGGCGAGGATTGTGCAAGATATATGGAAATGAGTAGAATTTCTAAATTAATAAAAACGAAAAAAATTACCTCTTTCGGTTTGATATAAATCGATGGTGTGAAAGATTCGATATGAGGTCAAATCTCTAATTAAAAACATAGCTGAATTTTTGAGCAACGACGACATTTTTTATAGGGGGACCCTTAGGTACTCGATAGTGAAATAGTTTTATGGGGGTGAGGGTGGGCCATGGGAGTGTTTGTCTTTTCAATCAGTTTTGAACCGTGTTACATTCACAGATGTAGAAGTTCTACAAATACACACATGGGAGGGGCGGGAAAAATTTCGAATAATTTTTTAATTCATGTGAGGGTCAGTAACACTTCTATTAAACCGACCCTATGTACATCTGCATTAATCCATCATTTTTTATGAGAGGTGTACAACTAGTCATGTCAAGTATATTTTTTGTTAAATTAGGATTATTTTCATTTGTCAACTACAATTAGCATAGAGATATTCACCCCAATTTCCTCTATCCTGAATAACATTCATGAAATAAAAGTGGAATATTGTTACTAGCAAATTAAATATAAATATAGTATTTTGCAAAATATATTTCGCCCCATTGAGTCATTGAACGAGGGAAAAGATTATCTAGATAAATTATTTAGATTATGTGGACAACCTTATGGAGAACTTGAGTTATTTATTGAAGAATAAGCGTGAACATTTGCACAAGAAACGAAACAATTTAGAAATGGCAATGTTGATGTGAGTGTCAATTTCATTTTTGGTCGTTAAAACTTTCATTGACATCTCAATTGAGTCACCCAAATTTAATTCATCTTTATCAAATTAATAAACTTAAATTTATTTTCAATGTTAGTAATTTTTATTGAATTAAACTTAACAAACAAACAACAATTCATACTCAAAGCTCTATTCATCTATGTTTTTAAGATTTTGCATTCACGACATGATCAGATGACATAACAAGAACTAACGGAGGATTGAAATGTTCCGTAATGGAGGCTACTGAAAGTAAATGGAAGTTCAGTGATATGATTGAAACAAATAGAAGTCGGATAACTCAGTTGAAATTTCATGAAAAAGTCCAGTGACTCAAAATGGAATTAAACCTAAAATAAAAGGAATTGTATGACTGCAAATAAAGGAGCGTAGAAACACAAGCACCATAACCATAACTGTATAAAAACTCAGTAGCAAACACGACATCAGCCATCAAAGCCAAAATGTAGAAGGTGCATTTTGGTTAGACTACAATTTGCCTATAGAATCCATTTGTATCCACGACTACAACAATCCGGTAAAGGCACGACTCATGCAAGAACAAGCTGAGCCTTTATACGAGCACGTATTCTTTGAACAATTGTCTGCACCCTATTCTGCTGATGATATAAAGACAAACTAGATAAAACAGCAGCATTTCTAGCAGTTTCATCGTTCGAAGTTTCAGATACTGTAAATAAAGGTGACACCTCTGGCAGAAAATCAATGCCCGCCAAATGCTGCGCCCATTTGTATGGCCGTGAAGTTCTCCTTTCGTGAAACGAGTAAAAATCGCCGATCATTAGCTTTGCCGACTGCATAACATTGCACAAATGTATAGTAAAAAGGTAATGAAGAATGGATTAAAATCATCAGTGATATAATTTTAAAATTGAACCTGTCGAGGGAGCTCAAGGCCGTTATCATCAGTGAATAAGTTGCACAAGATATTATTCTCAGGAGCTTCTTCAGAATCCTTGACTCCTACGCACACGACATTCAATTTTATTAAGTATTCGAACTCCAAAACAATAAGTTCTTTAGAGGTTGAATCTACAGCGCCATCATCATTTATGTGGAGAGCAATTTTAAGTGGATGAGCTTGATATATTCCTGACTGGTCAAGATTTTCCTTCCATGAACTGTTCTTCAGTTGCTTACTCCTTTGACCATCATCTTCGTCATCAGGCACGTCGCGTGAATTAGAATCCTCTGAGTTTGTTGATATCCCTGTTCCATCATGGTGAATGTTAATAGATAAGATCGAAGTTACCAGAGAGAGCATATATGCAATAAGACAAAAAATAAAATAAAATAAATAAATTAGAATTGCACTTGTCCCATTCTATAAAATATAGTCATGTTTGTTCGTACTTGAGGAAAAATGTCCTCGATTCTCATTCTAAATCATGTTGATTAGTACCATAGACGTGTCCAATATTTGATCAAGAAGCAGCTGACACATGTCTGAAGTTTTGATTGGACATGTACTTTTTTGACATGGTAAAGACAACGTCGAACATGATCCTTAAGGGTTCCTGAAATAGTTTCGGAGTCCAACACGTTTCCGATGTGGATGTGGCCTTCTTGAGAATTGAGAGGGCTCATGCTACGTAGCTTCATTATAGGCTTTTAGCTATTAGATTCTCAAATTGCATCTGTAGGATTCGACATTTTCCTCCTTGCTCTCTTTAATCTTGAGTAGTTTCATACATTGTATACAGCGACAAAATAGTTATGCTAGAACAAGTAAACAATACTTGGTGGAGAGAACTTGCACATACATAAATATAGAACTTACCCGCAGATAATACAGCAGGCATGTCTACATATATAATATATGCATTAACTTCTACTGTGTCCTAACATGCCATATCCTTGCCATGTCCCCGTGACCTGGTGTTAAGCATCAGCGTCCCATATCATGTCTGTGCTTATTAGATAAGAGCTAATCTATTCATGCTCAAAATTCAGTGAAACCTCTCATATGTATTCATTGTTGGTATCTTTAAGCAAAAGCTGATAAGAATACGCTCTTGAACATTTTTCTTTTAGGATGAAATAAAATTTTATAATATAAACCATGGTAAGGTATAATCATCGGTTAACTACTCCCTCAATAAAGGATAGTCCCAGCAGTAAGGGCCGAGTAAATTCCAAGTGCTTCACAGCCAAAAACCACATAACTTCTGACAATGTACAAGATAAATAAGACAAAATTTGAACCATCAAATGAGGAGTATTCTCTTGTTTATACTTCATGAAACAACACCATGTAATCTAAAACCGCAAGTATTAGATGATAAATAGGTATGTTCAGTTACCAGTGCATTTGTTTGCTAGCTGGCAGGCAATATCTTGAGCATCCTTCACATTTCCTATAAGCTCCAGGTCAATATTCTCTCCAAAAGTTTCCTTTAAAGTAAGCAACTGAGAGTAAATTACATAAAGAGGAGGTGGAAGCAATTCAGCTAATTGCTGCTGCTTTAGTTTCTTCATGTGCGAAACCCCTAATTGTTGCTGCACTGGCAAGGATGCTTTTTTTAGAGATTTGAGGTGTGAAGGTAGACTTGATAAGAACTTCTTCCTGTGAGCAACAGTCTCTTGTAGAGCTTTCTTTCTTTGCTCTAATTTCTTGCGGTGTTTGCATAATTCTTTACGCTGAGACAGAACATATGTGAGGACTTCTGAGTTGTTTTAGACTTTTAGTGGTAAGCACGAGCACACAGACGCACACGCGCACACACACAGAGAAAGAGAGAGATCTTGGCCAAAATATAGCATATATACATTCAATATTCAAGCATACGCAGAGGAAAGATTGAGCAAGTACACAGGTAGTACACAACATGAGCTTATGATTGAAACTAAAATATTGTAATGGAGTCATTAATATCCTGACATGAGTTAATTTAAGAAACAGAGCGTGAATGCATCAAGGTAAATTCTACACATGCCAGTATAATTACATGGTTTTTATCCCCAGAAACACTAGAATGGGAAGCCCAGTCCAATAAATGCTTTAAGAATTACTTTCCCATTAAAACTGAAACACAAGGAAATAATTTTCTCCAGGACAGTTCCTCCATAATATGCAGCTAACCTCAATGCATCGCGGCAGTCCTGAAAGACAAGGTTCAACTTTTCCGCATCTACAGAAAATTCATTTAACATCACTACATTAGGTCTTTTGCAGTCATAACAAGTATTTTTTTCTCCCACAAGCATACAGAACAAATTGATTGCTAGGTACAACTTCCATCCAAAATTCTACAGCTATAAGAATTACATTACACATTAATGTATTAATATCCAAAAAAAAAGATAACCAATATACAAATATGTCACCGATGAATAAGGCATCATATTTAATTTTAAGATGATATTTATGTGGCAGGTGAAAACTCAGATGCTGCAAGGGCAGAACCACTCAAGAGTAGTAATGCAAATTCTACATTCAGGGTGAAGATTAGAGATTTTTCCTGCCGGTGATGTTGCCAAAAATAAATGAACATTGAAGCCTAACACAAGTAAGAAGCCTTTCAACTCAGAAAAAAGTCCTTGCTGAGTTTGAAATCCTTCCATTAAGTTCTGCTGTTTTTCATAAAATTCAGGTAGAGGGTATTTCCTGGTAATTTTCTGAATTTGCAGTAATTTCAGCCCTTGAGTATTACATTAGGATTTATTGATGTTTCAAGTCCTCAATAATCTAGAATTTTTTTTCTTATCATTAATTAGGTACTAGTTTTCCACAGAAATCAATTTTAAAAGAGATATGCCACATATGTTGATGGATTTTTTCATTTCTCTCTTGGGGGATGGGTTATTTGGGTGGTGGGGTGTTGGTGGTGGCAGTGTAAACTAAATTTCTCTTTTTTTTTAAAAAATTCATTCACACATACATGAATTTATAGGTACAAGAGTAAGTACATGTACTATTGCAGAGAGAAGCATGTATTAATTTTCGAATGCATGTACTTGGTTAGGTTCATAATTTGGAAAGCTTATAAATACCTTCATAACGACGTGATCATCAGAATTTTGAAGAGACTTTCAGCTTAGTTTAAGTGAGCAAAAATACTTGATCTTCTTCATAGTATTTCTTGTGTAAGTATCCACCTAGCTTCCAATGAATTGTATCATAGCCAGGTTGGTGGTTCAAATAGTGAAAGATGTCCGAATGACAAGGTTCCAATGATTAATGAAAAATGTGAATTGATGTATTCATATGAAGGTGATTCTAGCAGCATAGATGTGTAGGATGTGGTTGGTAAAGGTAACACAGAACTACAAAACTAAGCTTCATTAACTCAAGTGCAAAAATAGGATCTGCAAGCAATTAGAAGGCAAGTGCAGGAGGTTCTTCAGATCACTGATGTTGGGTTCAGAAATTGGTACAATGTATAGCTTCAAACCTTTATTGAATATGAAGCCTTACATTTCGAGGACTCAGAGTCAATTTAAGAGTTCTACAAATTTTTAGTTGGCTGAAAAGTATATGCAAAGATATGCCCGATATTCGAGTTATTGAAAACTTCTTCAGTCACAAGTCTCCAAGTTTGACTACATTATTGTAGCTTTAGACAAGTGCAAGAATTTGGAACGCTGATGATTGATCAACTTTAGGGTTGCCCATAGAGAAATATTGCGGTGGAAAAAGGAAAGGCATTGGAATTACACACAAAACTTTTGTTAGAAACAAAAAGGCAACGGAGGAGTCAAAGATAGACAAGAAAAGGAGAAGAAGAAGAGAACAAAGAGAAAGGACAAGATGCTAGCAATTTTACCAAGCCCATACACAATGAAGATTATAACTGGAGTCGCATGATCAAGTTAAAAGGTGTTGAAAGGTTAACTTTATTTTCTTTGATTCACATGTAAATGAATAAATATTTGCTAGATATGCTATATGCATAAACCATTTCAGAGAAAAGTGCATATTCAAGATACATGTAATTGTAATTTGCTAGATATGCTATATGCATAAACCATTTCAGAGAAAAGCCCAGTGACCCAATTTACACCCCGATCAACTGTTTAACTACTGGTTTTCGGCAATTAGTTTTGAGCCTGTCCACTACAGGCATAAAGCTCACTTGAAATATGACCAAATTTTTTTTAAAAAAAATAAATAAAAACTTGCAAAACTAATAAAAGAATTAGATGAGCCAGGTGAAAAGATCAACAAGCCCTACAATCTATCCAGATCAAATATCCATAACTAGATAGGGCATAAAAAGACCAGATTAGCTATCTAATCATATCTTGGTCCTTAAGTCGCATTTTTCTCTAATGGAATAATCAATGTATAATCCAACCACAAGTACAATAATTTATTAAACTTTTGAGTAAGTTATTGAGCACATAGGTTTCCAAGAATCAAAATAAACTTCAGGGACACTTGCATCTCATAGGAGAGTTATGGAATCTCTATTGCGAATGCATATTCCAAATCCACTAGTACCTCTAGTCAGAAATCTCCACTCCTATAACAAGACAAGCTACTCAATCATTTGGAAGTAGAAAGCAATATAATCTAATTTAATAAAGCACCAAATTTTATTTATGGATTATGGACAAAATGTTCAGGTTATAAATTATGAACCAAGTCTTCTACACAAATTATTACTGCAAATACTTTATAATCCCATAAAATCTAAGAGTCTTCAATATTTGTCAAGAATATAAACCATATTGAACACGCAACGAATAAATAAATGACATCAATTTAAATTTTAAAAAAAAAAGTCTCAACACAATAGATCAATCCTTTAGGTCTCAGTATTCCTAACATTAGCCACTCCCACATTTAATCTGAACTCTAAAAACACTTTCATTTGAAATTGAAGAAAACGCTGTTTTTTCTGAACCCCCATGCATTTACTTTTGCAGTAACTGTCCAAGGCAAAGTTGAAAGACTTAGGAGCCATTGGTACAATTAGATGAAGAGATTTTGGTAATACATTGTGATTTTAATGTGAAGATTCAAGATTAGTCTATGAATACAAGAACCCCATTCACCAACAAATTTTTCACCACTATGCCTATTATTCTTAAAGGCCTTTGAGTTCTTTAATGAGTTTGGTCTTTTCCATTTTTATGTCACAATTTCTTACCCCAAATGTTGAAAACTTATTAAATATTTACTAGAATAATTTTTTATATTCTCCCTAATTTAATGTTTCCAAATATACAAAATGGTGTTTGTCGTGTCCTAACAGTCCCTAGCATGTCAAGTTAAAAGTATGTTCGGAAGTTTTTATAAACGGGTTAAATTATATATATGCCCTGTTTGAGCCACTTTATTGTAGAATGAGAATAAAAAATATAACCGTTATTGGAGCTCACACAAGAGATAGAAAATTTGAATTTAAATGTTTAACGGTCATATTTTTCATTTTAATGAGATAAAAAGATAGCCCAAACGGGGGCATAGATAAAAATGAGTAGTAAATAAGTAGTAATACTTGTGGGTTCCACAAAATGTACTAGATCAAAAAATTTTGACCAATTATAAACTGTATATAAACATTAACCAAACATGGGTTAAAAGAAAAAATAAAAAATAAAAATTGAACATCCCAAATTTAAAAGCAAAAGTAAAGAACAAGAAATGCAGCATGGCACGTCGGACATGTGCCTTGGTGTCTTTGTCGCATGTGTAAGAAGATACAGACACTCCAGCCTCGTTCGATATACAAGCTTCCATGCTGGGAGTTTACAATTACATAAAGTGGAAACACAGTTTAACATACTCATATTCCCCCTTCAGAACATTGTAAAGTCATCAAGTTCTATAATCTAAGAAGCACGGACACGTTGACACGCAATTTTTTGAAAAAGTTTCGACACGATACGTCGCCGACACGTTAATTAAAATATTATTATTTTTAGTTTATTTTAATTTGATAGTCTAAAGTAATAATTTTTTATACTTATTGCATCATATATATAAATAATTAAAATGTATTTGACTTCTAATACAAGTTTATTTTTTATTGAAGGGTAAAATGGTAAAAAATTGAATCAAATAAAATTTTACCAATTTTTTTTGTCAAATAATACAGCTGGAACAAAAACCATTGGTGAAAAAAAGGTCAATTACACGTTACTAGGAAACAAAAAATCCAAATCCAGGCAGAGTCACCTTCCCCAAATCCAAATCTTCTTCATTTCCTTTCTCCTTTCCCTTTCTTCTTTCCTTCTTCCCCAGACTTTCTTCCTTCCCCAGATGAATCTCTTCCCCATAACAGTCGACGGGTTGCATTTCTTCCCATTTCCTTCTTCATTTACGCCTCCGACATGCCGCAAGCAACTCCGACATGCGTCGGCGACGTGTCGAAGCCGTATTGATGTCCGACACGTGTCGGACACCGATACGTTGACACCGTCAACGTGTCCGTGCTTCACAGTCTATAATACTCGAACTCGGGTACGTATTTAAGTGTCGAATATATTATTTTCTAAAATAAAGGATATGGGGATATGGCTAAAAAGGTCCAAATTTCGAATACGGGTAAGTCATTTTATAAATACATTCAAAAAATAATATTAAGTTTTAAGAGTTTTTTTAACATATTTGAATTGTTTTTTAATAATTATTCCATTAAATAAAAAATAAATTGGTCAAACAAAGTCATAAATCATAGATCTACATGGATAGAAATAAAAGTCCAATAGGGTTATTAACCTAGAAGCCCAATAAAAGCCCATTTATTAACCTAGAAGGTCTTGCATTCACTCTCTCTCTTCGACTCTCGCTTCCTTCTCTTTGCTCCGATCGTGACTTCTGCTGCAGCCACTCCACCGCATAACCTGAGGCCCCCTCTTCTCCGGTTATGACACCGCCGGACCTCCTCCCTCGCTTCTCGAGAGCAGAATCGGGAAAGGAAAAAAGAGAGAAAAAAAGTACAAAGTAAAACCTAGCTGCCGACTTTTTCCACCCTGCCATGTTCGGTTGAAAAGCGCCATGCCCGCCCCATATTTCATACCATACCCGTACCCATATCGTGTCGTGTCAACACGATTACTCCGGCTGGAATGAAGAGTCTGAGTATCACATATCAAGTAACAAACTTACCATCACAAATAGAGAGAGACTTAAACTAAAAAGCAGTTTTCAACTTTGCATATCATACCACAAGCAATAAGGTGTATATTAGGATAAGTTTAAGGAACACTGTTAAAGAATTAAAAGATATAAAAGGAAACACAGTAATGAACAGAGGTTACCTGGTATATCTCAAAGTTGAGCCTTTTAAGCATCAAATTTTGTTCACTGTCTTTTGATATTACAGAGTCTTTTATCTCTACTGGTGCATCTCTGAAGAACTCTTCTTGAGGTACAAGTTCAATGTCAGGATATTTAGTGTTCAAGTCCTTGCAAGCCTTTATTGCTTTAATTTGGTGATTTTTCTCATACAGCAAACTCTGGAGCTGCAAGGTTGCAAACTCCACAGATGCTTTAGCACGTTCAGTTTCTGCTTTCGCAGAATCTTCTTCAAGCAAGATAGACCTGTTTGCCTGTCAGAGAACATTGAAAGACACGAGTCATAAGCTTATCTAATCAAGAATCAGATTTTTAATGTATAAATATCGATATTTTGAAAACCAGCCTGAATATTGACCAGGAAAAGTTAAAGGGTCAAGTGTAGAAGGGTCGAACAGGGATCGAACCACTAGTAATAAATAAATAAATTATATACCACAAAATTGAAAAAATTAAGTTAATATTTCAACTTAAATAATATGTATAGACAAAAGCACGCATTAATGATTAAATTTGGCTATATTTAATTTTTATTTTGTCATATGGTGAATCATTTAATACTTTTATAGTATTTTATAGTGTCATTGAAATAAAATTAAAATGAAAGATCACGTAAATTGGATTGGAAATGAAAAAAGAAATTCATTCGAAGAGAAATAATTTACACCAACATGAGTTTCTTTTCTTTTTAAATTAGAGTTGCTACCTTTTAATTTATTCAACTTTTATAGCTGAAAAATCATTCACAAGGGTGGACTAGAGAGTGCTTTACAAACTCTTGATTTACAAACTCTTGATGATTATTATTATTATTATTATTATTATTATTATTATTATTATTATTATTATCCTCTTTACAAAAGTATTGAAGATGCATGCTATAAATATGTGAGCTAATAAATGGAAAAGTAACTTTTTTAGGCCTTTCATTGCTTTCAATGTATTGGGCTGAAAGTTGTAATAATAATTTTAAAACCATTTACAACAGGCAAAACCGGATAAAGGGTTTCGGATCATCCAGTTTCTTGTTAACAAGCTAATTGACCGGTCTTTTACCGATTTCAAATTTAGTGATTTTTAAGCATTAACCAGACCAGACATTAGACCGGTTCCCCATTTTCCGGTTGAACCAGCCTGCAGTAGAAATTTAGAGCAACATAAAGTGCACAAAAAATTGCTAACGAAAAAATACTTTGTAGAAACAAATCTAAAGTAGCAGGCAAAGGCACGAAGACAGAGAACAGAAGAGCAATAGGACTTTAATATGGGTCATGGAAGACAAATTTTTGATTCATAATCACTTTGCGACATGAAGTCAAGAGTAATAAATGGTATGCCCTTGCAGCTGATGCTATGTTTACTAGAATTGATCATGTTAAGAATTGAAATTAGATGCCATTTGCAACCTGGAAGATCCTCCAACAGTAATCATAGATACCTATGATGCACCTATACGGACACGTGTGTCGGATACATCGACATGCGATTTTCAAAAAAAAAGTACAGACACTACACGTTATCGACACGTTGATTAAATTCTTAAAAAATTTTCATTTATATAGTATAAATTTAGTTTTATACTTGTTATTAATTTTTCTTATTGAAATCTTTTAAACATGAGTATCAATTTGTCACTTGTTAATAACTTTAAGTTAACAATATATAATATTTCAAATTTAAAAAGAAAAATGATTACGGTAGAGTGCATGAAAAGTGGCGGTATCGACACGTGTCGGACACGAACACGCTACTCTAATTGAAGTATCCGTGCTACAGAGATAGATACACTTGAATCTCATAAAACCACAAGGTGAAATAATAATATTCACCAAGCATGTTTGCACAATTTCCAATTAGCATAACAGAAAAAGTTAAAAGCAATATTATATATGATAGGAAATTAAGATTGACAAAAGAAGCAAGACAGATTATGGCCCTATTTGACACCCATTCTCATTCTCATTTTTTTCTTTCTTCATTTCAACCACACATTCTCCAATTAAAATAATATTACACACAAATCTAAAATTTTTTATTACTTTTCAACCACACATTCCTCCATCAATCACTATTCCAAAATTCAGTTTTTCTCCAAAATGGGTGTCAAACACAAGCTATAACTCTTATATATTATCATAACTCCATTATTGTGTGTGGCATATCATTTTCTTCAGTTTCTATTTTATTAACATTCCCACAGCAAAACATAATGATAGAGCAACTTCAAAATAAAAATCCAAAAATAAAAATAAAAATTGATTGACTACTCCGAAGATCCAAATTTCATTTAGAAAGCTGTGTCAATGAGATTGACAGAGATCATGGAGATTAACTAAAATTACAAAGATTGAACAAGAATATGATTTAACATAACTATATATAATTGAATATTTAGGTTGATTACAATTAGTCAATTACCATACTTAGATAGATACCACATTTGTATAAGGCAATATTTTTCTTATATACTGTAAGGAATCTCTAGAGGGAAAATCATCCAAACAAAAGTTTGTCATGGTATAGAGCTTAGTGAACTTTATACTAAATCCTCAGTTTTCTTTGGTCATAACTCAACCTTTTAGGTGTGAGCTTCTTGTGGTAGTCCACGGTTGACATAATTTTTGTCCACATGTGACTCTTGTGGTAGTTGATGGTTGATATAATTTTTGTCAACATATGACTCTTTGGTGAAACAAGTGTGGTGCGAGCATTCAGTGTTTTCGAAACGATCTATGTAGGAAATCTCGAATTAATAGGGAATATAATTTGAGGGATTGTTAAAGATCTTATTTACCATAGTTAGAATATTGTAAATAGATTAGAGATTTATTTCCTTTCCTTTTTATTTTCTTTCCTCGACTATATATAGGAGGCATGTATTGTACATTAGAATATAGAAGAAAACGTGTTCCTAGTTTTCATTCCCGTTCTCATCTTCATGGTATCAGAGCCATTCCAATGACGGAAACAGGCGAAAATAACAGAGGGTCAATGACCTCTGAATTTCTCAATGAAGAAACAGAGGCTATCTCTGCCGGGAGTGGAGGAATTGAAAGTTCATCCTTTCAATTCACGGTAGAAAAACTCGACGGGAAAAACTACAGAGAGTGAGCTCAATCTATCAAACTAATCATTGATGGAAAATCAAAACTTGGGTACCTGACTGGAGAGACTAAGATGCCAGCCTCAACCGACACAAATCTTCTTCGGAAATGGCGATCGGAGAATTCCATGGTGACTGCTTGGCTCATCAACTCCATGAAGCCCTCAATTGGAAAAACATACTTGTTTCTACCCACTGCAAAAGACGTTTGAGAGGCTGTGAAGGAGACATACTCTGATTCTGAGAATGCAGCCCAGATTTTCGAAATCAAGTCCAAGCTGTGGCAAACCAAGTAGGGAGAAAGGGATGCGATAGATTACTACCTGGAGATGACCGCATTATGGCAAGACCTCGACCTAAGTTCGGAGGAGAAGTGGAAGTGCCCAGAAGATTGTGCCTATTACCGAAAAAAACTGGAAAACGAGCGGGTCTTTGAGTTCCTAGCTGGGCTTCACCGGAATTTCGACGACGTTAGGGGGCGAATCCTTGGTCGGCAGCCACTACCGTCGCCGCGCGAGGTCTTCGCGGAAGTGAGGCGAGAGGAAAGCCGGCGGAAGGTGATGATGAATAGAACTGGTGAGTTTGGGTCGATGATTGAAGGATCAGGTATGGCTGTGAAAGGGTTTGGGCCTCCCGGGAATGGGCCTTCAAAATTTAAAATGGGTCCATCAAATTTCCAACTTGAGGCTGCTACTAATATAGGGCCCAATTACTCTAATGTTGGGCTTGGAAGAATGGGCTTATATCAAAAAGAGGTAGCAAGTGGGCTAGGTTTAAAACAAAAAGGTCGAGACACATGTTGGGACCTACATGGAAAGCCAGTTGATTGGAAACCTAGGCAAAGTAACAGAAATCGTAGCTATCAAGCATCTGTTGATTATTCAACAGAAAAAATGACGGGGTCCAACAGTGCTTTTAATTCCGAGTAGATGGAGCAACTCTACAAAATGTTCTCTACACTCCAACCATCAAATCAAACCTCTACAAATAATGCTTCATCTTCACTAGCTCATAGAGGTAATTTCTTAAAAGCCCTAACATCCACCACAAAGTCTAGTACACCCTGGATCATTGACTCTGGAGCTTCTGATCACATGACGGGCTCTCATAACCTATTTTCTTCATACTCAACATGTGCCGGTAATCTCAAAGTTAAAATTGCTGATGGTTCCCTGTCATCTGTAGCTGGAAAAGGGAGTATTAAAATTTCTGACTCTATCGCTCTAAAATCAGTTCTTCATATCCCAAATTTATCGTGCAACTTACTATCTATAAGTCAGTTAACGAAAACTTCAAATTGCTCTGCTAAATTTTTCTCATCTTACTGTGTTTTTCAGGACCTATCATCGGGGACGACGATTGACAGTGCTAAGGAAAGTGAAGGACTCTACTACTTTGAAGAGGCTGATGTGAGTAAACAGTGTCAATTTAAAGTTTGTGATTCTGCGTCTGTCCTTAGAAATAGTGAAATTATGTTATGGCACTTTAGAATGGGTTATCCCAACTTTCAATACTTGAAACGTGTCTTCCCTTCTATCTTTTTGAATAAAAGACCAGTCAATTTACAATGTGAAATCTTCGAACTTGCAAAACATCAACGCACATCATTTCCAATATCCACATACAAACCATCATAACCGTTCACCTTGATCCACAGTGATGTGTGGGGTCTTTCGCGAATTCCAAACCGTAATGATGCAAAATGGTTTGTGACATTCATCGATGATCACACTCGAATATGTTGGGTTTACCTCCTAAAAGAAAAGGTTGATGTTCGTTCCGTCTTTATCAACTTCCACTCTATGATTCAAACACAAATTCAAATCCTTCACACCGACAACGGCACAGAAGACTTTAATAATATCATGGAAGACTTCCTGCGAGCTCATGACATAATTCATCAAAGCTCTTGTGTTGACACTCCCCAACAAAATAGGATTGCCGAACGAAAAAATAGACATCTCCTGGAAGTTGCTCGTGCCTTAATGTTTACTACAAACATGCCAAAAATGTTTTGGGGGGATGCGATTCTTACATCCACCTATCTAATCAATCGGATGCCCAGCCGTATCCTAAACTTCGACACACCGCTCCACAAATTTCAGAAATATTTTCCAAATTCTCGTCTCCACTCCAATATTTCCCTGAGAGTGTTTGGATGCATCGCTTTCGTTCATGTTCACTCTACTCACAGAAGTAAACTTGACCCTCGAGCAATTAAATGTGTTCTGATTGGTTATTCTCCTACACAAAAAGGCTACAAATGCTATGATCCCTCCACCAAAAGAGTCTTTGTAAGCCTTGATGTCACCTTCTTCGAAAATACCCCATTCTTTCCGAACACCTCTCTTCAGGGAGAGATCTCACATGAAGATCGGTTTCTTGACCTCCGTCTCTCCACCCATAATATGTCACCTACTCAACCAACTAATGTGACATTACCAGAAGGAAACTTGAATCTAGGGGGAGAAGTAGAAAAACAAAACGAGAAGGAAATACTTGTTTACTCCAGAAAGCAAAAATCAAAGTATTCAGAGAATCTCACATCTGAAGCACCAAGAGAGTCTGAACTGATGGTAGATCCAGATTCCCAGAAAGTATCATAAAGTCCTAACACTGACTCACCTATTGCTCTTAGAAAACAAAAACGATTATGTACACTTCATCCCATCTCGAAATTCATATCCTATAATACCCTATCTACAGGATTTCGTGCTTTTACATCTCACCTTGACAGGACAATGATTCCAAGAAATATTCAGGAAGCCTTGGAACTTCCAAAATTGAGAGAAGCAGTATTGGAAGAAATGCGAGCATTGGAAAAAAATAAAACTTGGGAAGTGATAGACTTGCCACAAAGAAAAAAACCAGTTGAATGCAAATGGGTCTACAATGTAAAATACAAAGCCGATGGGACAATAGAAAGGTATAAAGCTCGATTGGTTGCGAAAGGATACACACAAACCTACGGCATTGACTACACAGAAACTTTTGCACCAGTAGTAAAGCTAAATACAATTCGGGTCCTTTTATCACTAGCAGCAAACTTGGATTGATAACTTCAGCAACTCGACATTAAAAATGCATTCTTAAATGGGGAATTAGAAGAAGTATTCATGACATTACCACCGGATTTTTGCAAGATAAATGAAAAGGGTCGAGTATGTAAATTAAAGAAGTCGTTGTACGGACTCAAACAGTCACCAAAAGCATGGTTTGACGATTTGCAAAGCAAAAGTGTTGAAGAGACAAGGATATCACCAAGGACAATCAGATCACACTATGTTTATTCGAAAATTTGAAGATAGTACTAAAATGATTCTGATCGTTTATGTCGATGATATTATTCTAACAGGGGATAATTTGGTAGAGTTGGAGAGATTAAAAAGGAGTCTTGCCACTGAATTCGAAGTAAAAGATCTGGGATCGATGAGATATTTCTTGGGAATGGAAATTGCAACATCAAGACAAGGAATCAGCATATCACAACGAAAATATGTACTTGATCTTCTAACTGAAACTGGCATGCTTGGATGCAAACCAAGCGACACACCTGTGGATGTAGGAAAGAAAGCTGAGGATGGAGAGGTTCTAGTAGAAGTTGACAGATATCAAAGACTAGTGGGAAAACTAATCTACTTATCACACACCAGGCCCGATATCTCATTTGCTGTTAGTCAGGTTAGCCAACACATGCATTCCCCGAAGAAAAACCATCTAGAGGCTGTCTATAAGATACTAAGATATCTTAAGGGCTCCGCAGGTAAAGGGCTATTCTTCAAAAGGAGTGAAAGAAAAGAAGTTGAAATCTATACAGATGCGGATTGGGCAGGATCGATTGATGATAGGAGATCTACTACTGATTATTGTACATTTGTATGGGAGAATCTAGTAACCTGGAGAAGCAAGAAACAAAATGTGGTAGCTAGAAGTAGTGCTGAAGCTGAATTTAGAGCCGTCGCACAGGGAATATGTGAAGGACTGTGGTTGAGAAAGCTCTTGGAAGAATTACATATCACAATAAAGTTACCAATCAAACTCTATTGTGACAATAAAGCAGCGATCAATATTTCTCTTAATCCAGTTCAACATGATCGAACTAAGCACGTAGAGGTGGACAGACATTTCATCAAGGAAAATGTTGAGGAAGGAACTATTTGCATGACGCATGTCCCAACACAAGCACAACTTGCAGATATCTTCACCAATGGACTGCTAAAACAGAAATTCGAAGATTTCATCTCCAAGTTGGATATGATCAACATTAACGATCCAACTTGAGGGGAAGTGTAGAAAATCTCGAATTAATAGGGAATATAATTTGAGGGATTGTTAAAGATCTTATTTACCATAGTTAGAATATTGTAAATAGATTAGAGATTTATTTCCTTTCCTTTTTATTTTCTTTCCTCGACTATATATAGGAGGCATGTATTGTACATTAGAATATAAAAGAAAACGTGCAGTAATCGTTCTTCCTGGTTTTCATTCCCGTTCTCATCTTCAATCTATTAGCGTTGTCCTTTTTTGTCAGACTTTGATTCTTTAACGGGAATCATATTTTGGAGCATGTCCAAGCTTTGCAAACTGGGCAAGAAACGGATTTTATCTTAGTTTCATGTATATTTCACGAATTGAGCATTCTAGAAGGAAGCAGTTTCTGAAAGTTGGTTTTCTGAGGTAGGAGATACAACAAGTGAAAGAAAGCTGATTTTGTGGAACTGGCTAGTTTTTGCTTGGAGTTGGGCATTTTGAATTTTTTTTTCGTGGGTTGTCCTGGTTATGGGCCCACCAAAAGATATGATTTTTCTGGCTCTTTTTGTTCATGGAAAAGAGTATTTTGTGATGCCAAAGGAGAATATGTTGTCAAAATGGAAGCTTCTGATTTGGATTTATATAGGTGTAATTCTTGATAACACCATCAGAAAACTATAAAAAAAAAAAAAAAAATCTTAGATTTTTTATCTAAGCAAGAACAAAATTACTGATCCTTATTCTAATTTTTGGAGTTTTGAGTTCACTCAAGAATATTAATCTTTCAAGCAATATGTCTAAGGGTTCTATTGTTGGTGTTTTTGAAGAACCATTGGAGTTGTGCCTTTGAGTTATTTTGTACATCAATTAACAAATTGATACGGCTTGACCATTCAATATCAATTTGAGGGGGATGTGAATGAAATCAACTGAGATCATGAAGATTAACAAAGATTACGAAAATTAAAGAAGATTATGATTTAACATAACTACATATAATTGTATATTTAGGTTGATTACAATTATTCAATTACCATATTTAGATGGATACCATTGTTACAAGGTAATATTTTTCCTATATAATGTAAGGAATCTCTCGAGGGAAAATCATTCAGTCAAAAGTTTGTCAAGCTGTAAAGATAAGCAAAGCAAATGACTACAGATAAAGTTTGAAACTAAGTCGAATAATCAGTATAAAGACTATAAACTAAAGTCAATTACATCCCAGATATTCATAGGGCAAGTTAACCGGGATTTTAAGAATATATATATTTTTTTTGATAACCGTGGATGTCCAGAGTCCAGACCAACTTACTCGCACCTTGACTAATCCCACAGGGCCCTGAAATTTAAGGCCGGGTACTCACCTCAGTGGCCCTGAAAGGACTCAAACTGGTGACCATTGGGGAGCAAACTCAAGGCCTGACCAATTGAGCAACCCCTCAAGGTTGGGATTTTAAGAATATAATGTCATTAACAAAAGGATTACTATCCTTTGCATAGAATCTCATTTCATGGACAAAATTCCAACAGTATATTATTTGTTAAACATTCTGAATCATTGCATTATCATTTCATTCCTATTTCCAATTTTTCCCTTTTATTATAGAATTTTAATTCATGAAATTCAACAGAAATCAGGTTTTTACATATCTCCAATATGATGACATGTGGGAAACAACCTAAAAAATTTAGAACCTAAAGTTCAATTCATTTAAGGTTCTTCTCCACAACTAGCAATATAAAATTGTTTCCTTAAAGCTCTCCCAAAAACAAGACCCAAATTCATACTGATTTTAACAAATACATTCACATCGTTATGAAAACACATACTTCGGCCAAATACACCCATACTTCAAAATGATTTATACACTAATATACACACAATATCTATGCACTTCACATACACGTGTATAGATGTTATATGGGAAGAGTTTGTGTGACCTGGCAGAGTGACAAAACTTAGGCTGAGCTTCTCCAACAGTATAGTATTTGTTAAACGTACTGAATTTTCACATTTTCATCTCACTCCTACCTCAAAATTTTCCCTTTTATTATTGACACTTCATTCATGAAATTCAACTACTCAAGAAAATTTAGAACCTAAAATTCAGTTCTTTACAAAGTTCTTTGGCTTTTGGATTATACCACTAACCATAAAAAACGAAAAAGAGAAAAAAAAATGTTTCTTCAGAGCTCTCCCATAAACAATACCAAAATTCAGCAATGATTTTAACAAAAAAAAATGAAAATTTAAGTCACTGTGAAAGCACAACAACGCAATTCTACTTCAGCCACAAACTCCAAATCCCTAATAATCCCAGATTCCAAAATATTTATATATGTTAATATGTGAAGAAGATGTGGACCTGGCGAAGAGTAACGAAATTGAGGAGAATTTGAGTGACGAGTTCTCGGAGTTGGGATTTGGTCTGGGCTTCTTTCTTAATGGCAAGCATTTTGGTCACCACTTCCTCCACCGAAGCCGTGCTCTGCCGGAGGGTGTCGTAAAGAGCCGCCGTGTCTAACTTGTGTTCCGGCGATGTTTCGCCGTGTTCCGCCATCGTCACCTCCATTGTAAGCCGCCTTGATCTGTAAATAAATTAATGAGTTACTTATAAATAAGTTAATTTCATTTTTGGGTCACTGAACTTTTAGTGAAACCTCAATTAACGTCATATTTCTACTTGAACATCGTCTTGGCTTTATAATTAAAAAATAAAGAGCTAAAATCAATTTGGTAACTTTATTAGTTAGTAACAATCGGATCCTTGCAGTCTAGAAATTATTACTATTATATCTCTAGTCTCTCCTTATAAATATCAAATTTTGGTTCTCAATGAAATATATACAAGTTTATTGACTTTTATTCACTCCTTTTTTTTTTTCTTTTCATAATATGTTATCAGCACGATAGTTTAATTTTTCAAAATCTAAAAAAGGTAATAATTTTTTTAATAATCATCTATCATGTATACCAAAATTAATTTGGTAACATGTGAATTTTTTTGTCTTACATTTGCAACCATTAGTGTGTTCATGGTTAATTTCGTTGAACATAATTAGTGAACGTATTCTTTTTGCATACTAGTAAATGCATGTGCATTGCACATGTAATGGGTTATGTAGTGTAAATAATAATGTTGAATTTTGGTTTTGTAGGATTTCATTGAAAAATGAAACTTGCTTTGAACAAATATTGTATTGGACTATATAAATTGTGTGTCCACGGGTATTTATATTGTTGGTGATAATATTAATTAAAAAACAGAATTGTTTCATGCCATACTTGGATACATGAATTTTCACATGTTTATACGTACAATAAATAAAAGCTAATACGGCAAATAGAGTTGTTGTGAGTCGGGTCCAGGGGACTGAGAACATAAACATGCAAAAGAGAATCAAAATACATATTTTGAATTCTCAAATAACTACTCATGCTTTTGCTTTTTGTTCATTAGTTTATCAACTTCATGTGTCAACATTCTTCGGATTGGTGTGCTATCTTTTGGTGTAGCGTTTGCATTTTTTGAGTTGAAGAGACGTTCGTGAAGTCAGCAACAATTTCGAATTTTACAAAACTGAAAGAAATACTTAGAAAAAATGCATGTAAACATGGGTGGATGTAATCTAGACAATGAATAATGGGGTAATGCCTAAGGGTAAATTTCATTCAACAGATTGAGTAGACAACTATTTGGAATTCAAAAATAAAGTTACATCCATCAAAATATGCATGTAAACATGGGTGGAGGTAACCTAGTTAATGAATAGTAGTGTAATCTTGATAATAGCTTATTTATTACGTTTTTCACCCATTAATATTTGTGTTTCTATGATTATTTAACGCCTAAATGCACTAAGTACTTCTATATCTTAGTTTAGGTTGCAAATGGGCGAAAACGGTGGAAAATTGAAGAAAAGAGCGAAAAATGACCAAAATGGAAGAAAGTGAAGGCTCGGAGACTAAAGAGCAAATACTTTAAACTTGTTTCTAACCTTGTGATGAAGATTCAAGAGTGTTAGAAATCAATTGAATAAAGGAAAGAGTCAAAGGAATGAAACATAGTCAAAACATTATCACATATCAATTTTCAAGCTGAAAAGTTTTGCATCAGTTTTCAGCCTCACATTGAGACCAGTTTTTGATATGGAAAATGATCGAATTCAAAAATTGTATCTGAAGCAAATTTTTAGCCCTTTGAATTAGTTTTCCAACGCATTTTGAATCAGCTCAATCGGATACATGTGGAGAACGTTATGACCAAAATACCGAACATTGTTCAGAGACGTGCGCAGGCAAATTCTCTCGCGCGCACACAGACATGAATTTTACTTATCAAGCCTAAAACCAATGAAAGGTGCGCGCACAAGGAAATATACCGCGTGTGCGGATAGGCATTTTTCACAGTCGAATTTTCAAGTTTTCTTCTACGACTCAAACACTTATGATAACTTATTTTGGCACGATTTCTCAACCCTAAAAGACCCCAGAACGCCCCATTCCTCATTATTCATCATTCTTTCATATCTTTTTGCTCAAGAAACTCATGAAGAACTAAAACTTTGGTGAAGCTAGGAAGGAACTCTTTCGAAATTGGTGATTTCACATCTATTATTCACATATTTTGGTATTTTCTTGTTGAACAACTCTAAAATTTATAGTTTCTTTCCATGAATTTGTAATGAGATTGGTTTAGCTTTTATTAAATTAATCATAGATTCAGCCGGGCTTTTTCTATCGACAAGTTGANAATTGTTTTTTGAATTATGATATGATGGGAAATGTGTGGTTGAAAAGAAGAAAAAATTATTGAATATTATTTTATTGAAAAATGTGTGGTTGAAAATGAGTATTGATTGAGAATCAATTCTCAAATCAAAAACAAACACCCCCTTAGTATATAGTCGATTTTGAATCTGATTTCGATAAACCAAATGTGAACATTGCAATAGAAAGATTAACCTTTAGGATCACGTTAGAATTAAATTGGGTTTAAACAATATATCTTCCAATTAGAGTGTTGAGATGAAAGCCTTTAATTGTACTATAAAAATATAATAATTGATATCAATGATCCAATCCAATTGAGAGAATTCCGACGTTTTACTGCCTCAAATTATTGATTTTAATTTCATATTTCAAACATTGAATTTCACTACACATTGAAGAGAATAATTCACTCTTCTTGATCCTTTGCACATTTTCCATCTCCCTGTGGATACGACGCCCAACGCTGCACTACAACTACGGTGTTATTCTTTGAGCGTAATCAACGTTGTATTTGACCTATCTCATAATCCAACTGACGGAATTCAGACTCTTTACTACCTCAAATTATTGTTTTTTTAATTTCACATTTCAAACATTGAATTTCACAACACATTGAAGAGAATAATTCACTCTTCTTGATCCTTTGAGTATTTTCTATTTCCATGTGGATACGACACTCCAAAGCTGCACTACAACTACCGCGTTATTCTTTGGGCGTAATCAAATTTCTAAGGGTAAATTTCATTCAACAGATTCAGTAGAAACTATTTGGAATTCAAAAATAGAATTGTTGGGAGATATACCTCACATAAAATGTGTTTCACCCCATCACTTATCAATATATGTTATAGAATATAATGAATGCACATATCGGCGTAATTCCCCCAACACTACTTTCATCTCTCAAGGCAACACTAATAGCAGGATTTAAGCACAACGCATTGTTTAGCCGTGCATCCACATAAGGGTGACTTGCAGAAAGATGCCACCACCATATAGGCCAAGTTGGCTATTTCCACTATGGGGCAGCTAATTCGGCAACAATTACCTCATTCTCATAGCCTATGAAATCTATTTTTCATGTTAAGACTCAAGCAAACAAATTATGATCAAATATAGCTGTTATGATCAAATTATTCGCATGAATAATAAACCTCAAATCTGAATAAAAAATTACTTTCATAAGAAGAATCACTATAGCAGAAATGATTCATCAAGACCAAACCTTTAAGATTGAACATAGATGTTATAGCTTTGAATTTCACTTTCCTTCTCTTCTATAACTTCTTATACTAATTATATAGTACATTTACTTAGAAAACATTATATCACTCATCTTAGGGCCCTGTTTGGGAGAGATTAAATTTTTCTACAGTAAATCAATTCTCATTTTCAACCACACATTCTTCAATAAAATAATATTTCCATCACATCAATAACTTTTCCTTCTTTTTCAACCACAAATTCTCCATCAATCTACTATTCCAGAATACATTCTTCCAAAATAATGTGGATCAAACACACAGCTCAAACGAGCCATAATCAAGCAACTACAACAGTATTTTATTAAAGTGTCTCTTTTCTCCTAACAACTTTTAGGGCCTGTTTGGTTTGGATTATAATTTTCTACAGTAAATCAATTCTCATTTTCAACCACACATTCTTCAATAAAATAATATTTCCATCACATCAATAACTTTTTCTTCTTTTTCAACCACACATTTCCCATTATATCACTATTCAAAATCAATTCTTCCCCTAAAAATCTCTCCCAAACAAGCTCTAGGTCATTAGTGTTCGGGAAAAAAGTTCAAAACCCATTGACAATTTAAAGATCTGGACAAAGCATATATGCATAAGCATAAACGTGCACTAATTCACAAATCCAGAATCTTTGTTTGGCATTACAAAGAAGAGAAATACAGACAATATAAAACCATAAAAAGAGTTGGAAAGAAATGAAGAGAAAAAAATGAAGAAAAAAATAAATGGCAAAAAAGAAAGAAAATCAAAGAAACAACTTACAGGATTTGTGAAAATGTTCAAATATTGGAAAAACTCCAGAGGACAATCAAGCAATTAGAATAATTTGAACCACATTTGGAAAAAAAAAATAATCAATTTGAAGATTTTCAGTCAATTTTCTTACGAATTAAGAGCAATTTGAAAGCCCTGGTAAGAAGATTCTATTACTTGCAGATTAGAAAAATAAATTTAATGGTAGAACATTATAGAATGAAAATGCTAATAACGTTAGGCTCAATTATAGTTCCCTCAGCAATTTAAAGTAGAGGTGATATTTTAAAGTTTATTCACAAATGATGGAAGTTACTTGCTGTTAGATGTTGCACCTGGAATTCGAATAAGACAGAAAGAAAAAAAAAAGTTTATAGCTTGCAGCTTCTTTCCAACTATTGTCTTCTTCGATTTTATACTCGGCCTCCAAACATCAACACAAACCAAGGATATGATCAATGAATCCCCTCCCACATGTGACGGCTACATTCGAAAACAATTTATTACTTGTGCCACTCTTGTCAGCAAAGCTGAAAAATTTAACTATTCTAAATGTTGTTATATAAAGGGGAAAAAAAGGAATCATATTGTTAAGTTTACGAAAACGTAAAATCTTGATGAATTAACTAAAGGAAACAATCAATATTTATTTACACGAATGAATACATAATCAACGAGTCGCCATAGTTAAAATTAATTTCATACATTAGTGTTAGTCATAATGTAAATGAAATGTAATGTGTTTTCAATCAACATTAAATAATAAAATTATTGTAAAACTCATCAAACAAATGCTATGTTCTAACAAAGGTGTGATAACTTGAAAGAAATGGTATGGTTTATCACTTCTGTTCGACGTGATATCTCTACTAAAGGAACAATAAGTAAACATATATATTAAATCCTTAAGAACAATTGGAGGTTGATTCCTGATAAGCGTGTTTTTACATACTTATTTGACTATCAAAACATGATCAATTATTGATTAAAATGTTGGAATATAGCTTAATTCTATGTAATTCATGTTTTGCAGGATAAAGTGATGAATGTCATAAAATAAGGAAAAACAAGTGAAAAATGATCAAAATGGAGGAAGACAAAAGTTCAGGGACCAATGTGAAAATAATCTAAACTTGTTTATAACCTTGTGATGAAGATTCAAGAGTTTTAGAGGTCAATTGGATGAAGGAAGGAGTCGAAGAGGTGAAATATAACCAATACATTATCGCATATCAACTTTCAAGCTAAAAAGTTTTGCACCAGTTTTCAGCCTCATATTGAGACCAGGTTTTTACATGGCAAACGGTCGAATTCAAAGATGGTATTTGAATCAAAGTTGTAGCCCATTAAGTTAGCTTTCCAATGTATCTTGAATTGCCTCAATCGAACATCAGGGAGAGGAAGATTCAGTCAAAATACTGAAAGCTATTCGACTGGAAAACATTATAATCATGGGGCATGGTCATCTACCGAGAGTCCAAGGGTAGCAATTATTTGTTCCATACGGTCGCATGGGTTTATACCTTGCAGCCGCATAGGTCATTTTTGTGACGAAATTTCTGGTTTCCTTTTATGACTCAAACTCTTTTGGTAACATGTCTTGTACAACTTTTCAACCCTAAATACATCCCAAAACACCCAAGAACGTACCATTCTTCATTTTACACCATTCATTCATTGATTTGGCTCAAGAAACATATGAGGAACTAAAGATCTTGGTGAAGTACGAAAGAATTCGGTTGGAATTTGTGATTTCATATCTTTTATTCAATTATTTTGATCTTTTCATTGTCAAACAATGCTAGAATTTAGGTTTTCATTCTTATAAATTTACATTGAAATTAGTTTAATTCTTATTAGATTTTCCATGGATTCAGTCATTTTTTTTCATTGTTTAATCGAAATATTTGTTGAATTTCAATTTCATGAATATATGTTGAGTTTGATTTAAGGTTTATTAAATTAATCATAGATTCAGTCATGCTTTTTCTATCGACGAATTGAATTAATTGTTGAATTGAAATCTCAACTATTTTATTGGTGTGATTCATTTACTGCTTTATACTTAAAGTATATGGTCGATTTATGAATCTAATTTCAATAAAATTGTCTAAATATATCATAAATCTAGATTCTAAGATTACGTTTGTAAAATAAATTGGTTTTCACGATAAATCTTTCTATTAGAGTGTCGGGATAAAAGTCTCTAATTGAGTTATAAAACTAAATAATTGATGTGAATGATCCAATCCAACCGAGGGAATTCCGATGCTTCACTATCTTAAATTATTGATTTTTAACTTCATTTTTCCAATATTGAATTCAACTACACTCTTGAGAGAACAATCCATCCATTTTGGATCCTTTAAACATTTTTCCATCTTCCTGTGGATACGACACCCCACAACTGCACTAAAACTACCGCGTTATTCTTTGGGCGTAATCAATTCCTTTCAGCAGGAACAGTTGTGTCAAAATTGAAAATCCCATTTCCAAATGATATAGTTTTAACCAATAAAAATGACATAGATCTAACAGTCCCATTGAAGATCAACAGAATTTCGTGACACGAAAACATGTACATTTTTTACCCTTAATGAATGAATGTGGTTAAAACATTTGTATTTTGAAATCATTTAATTTAGAGAATTTAAATAGATGACTTTAGGAAATTGATGTTTTGAACACATGATTATAAAAAAAATAATATCCTTTCTGTACATAAGATCTCTTAAACCTATCATAAAGACGAAGGCTGGAAAGAAAAAAACATAAACAGAGAAATATGATGGAAATATAATTTCATACACTAAGAAATTCTTATAGTAACAACTTCACTTTCAAGAATCGTAGAAAATTATGATAAATTATTTTAAGATGAAATACATTCTTAATGATATGAAGAAATGAAATTGGTCCTAGACAACCAGGACTTTAGAAAAGTTAGAAAAAGAAGTTTGATCAATTACAGAAAGGAAAAAAGAATATTTTTTAAACAAAAATCACCAAGAAATAGAACAAATGTTGAAATAAACACAGACATAAAACATGAAAATAAGTATAAACCTGAAAATCAAAATTCAGGTGGCTGTCTCTGACCCTGGGTAGATGAAAAAACTCTCCAACATAGCTATTGAATTTGTTTTAGGTGGCTGTTAGTGTCCCTGTCCCCCCTACATATAAGAAGCCATGCTGTCATAGAAATTCATAAATTTGGTTACATATTTCTAACACTGATTACAAGGGTAGCCATTCTCTTGATACAATTAATTTCTTCTTTTTTTTTTAGATGGAAAAACTTTCAAATAAGAATTCAACGGCCTTGATCACTATAAGATTGTAAAGAAACAGAGGCACCTCGAAAATTGCAAACATTATTATAATAAACAGATTATTAAAGTACAACTTTGTTAAGAACGGAAATCAATTTCGTAAAAAAAAAACTAAAATAAGAAACGAAAGAGCTTAATTTCAACAGCAGATGAAAACTTTAAAAGGAAGCAGCAATCTTACAACTTCATTTACAGAAAATGAAATCAATTATTTAAGAAACATGAGTCGTTTCGTTACCAAATATGTGTAAGCATAATTTATTAAAAGGAATATAACAAAATCAACAAAAACCATCAGTTTACCCCAATTTGAAAAACAAATTACATGAACAAATTTTGAAGATTTCTTTGAGAAAGAATTTCAACACGAAAAAATATATGTACAAATGAAGCCACGAAATCAAATAAAAGTCAGCCTCTGTATATCGAAAGATGGAAAAAACCCTCGAAATCAAATTAAATCACACTTCTATTAAAGTTTAATATACAAATCCAAAAAAAAAAAAAGAGACAGAAACAAGAGCAGTTACATCAACAAAGAAAGAGAATACAACCAACGTAGAAAGCATGCGAAATCACCAAAGGAAGACAGAAAACAAGAGAGAAACAAGAGCAAATGAATATTCTAGAGAAGCCATACGATCTACAAAGGAAGAAGAAGCCAGACGATCTAGACAGAGAGTGTTTGGGAATTCGGATTTGATGCCCCGTCCACCACAGCAACAGAGAGTGGTTCAGAAAGTTGGGACGGCGGTGCCAAGGATAATGGTAGAAATGCCTGTGATGAGGAGGTTCTATGAGCCACCTCTGGCAATATCTAAGCAGAGGGCAATAGCATTTGTGGAGGCACAATTGGGGGAGCCAATGAGAGAGGATGGGCCAATTCTTGGAATGGAGTTTGATCCCTTGCCTCCTGGTGCATTTGGTGCACCAATTGGTATATTACTTGACCCAATTTAACTTTTTGTTATTTAAGAGTAAATGCAAAA